GCCGCAAAGGCGGGCCCTTGTCAACAGGACCTGGGAGGTGACTGACCCCCCCTCCAGCAGCCCCAACTGACTGGCCTGCGCGCTCCCGCCGAGCTCTCTCCAGCCGGCCGGCAGCTCTGAGCCTGAATGGTGCTCCAGGAGACAGCACTGGAGGTGGCTTCTGACGCAGCACGGGCCTGGCATGGAGAGGGTTAACCCCTCATGGTGCTGCTTTGCTCCTTCAGGCGCTGCACCAGCATCTCTGCCTGCCCAGGAGCCAGCTGCTGCCCTGCAGCATGCAACGCAGCCCCGAGCAGCGCAACGCACAGCCAAGCAGCGCAGCATGGCCCTGAGCAGCACAACGATGCGGCCCCAAGCCATGCAACGCAGCCCCGAGCAGCGCAACACAGCCCTGAGCAGCGCAACGTGGCCTTGAGCAGCGCAACACAGCCCCGAGCCACGCAACGTTGGCCCAAGCAGCGCTACGCGGTCCTGAGCAGAGCAATACCCAAGGCTGCTGGCAGAAAACCAGCCACCATGAGCTTGATGAGGCAGAGCAGGATGCTGGGCCGGCATCAGACGGAGACAGGCAACTGCTCTGAACAGCCAGCAGGGCTTCACCCAGGGGAGAACGGGGCAAACCACGCTTATCACACACAGTCTTTGCCAATGGCAGGTCGCTTCTTGTATTTTGAGAGCACCTGGCTGTGGCAAGCTCTGCTCCAGCGGGGGCGCAGGCACCCCAGACCGCCGAGCTCATGGGCCAGGATAGCCCCGTGCACAGCTCCCCACCGCGTGGTCCCTCGTGTCCTGGCACTGCTCTGTCGGCTGTCTGACGCATGGCTGTTCCTCCAACAGGAGCTTCCTCCTACTTGTTAGGGTCAGAAATCACTGCTGGCCTCATCCTTTTTCTCAGATGGGCCTTCACAAGCATCAAAGCCCCGAAAGAGGCTGGTGGAGACAGAAAGCCACCCCGCTGCCTGGCCTCCCTGAGCTCCCTGGGGACTCCAGGCTTCTGCTCCCCAGAGGATCTCTGGGGCCAGACTTTTCCCTGTCCCCCACGCTGCAAGCAGCTCTCACTGTACATGTAAGCACCCGGTCTACACCCTGTCTCGAGAGACAGAGGCAGCAGCCACCCCAGGCTACGAGATCCTGTGGGTCATGAGCGCGCCGAGTCTGGAGGCACCGCTGGGAGATGCCGAGCCACAGCAACACCATGCATGCCCTAGAGAAACTGGCCTGGGGTCCTATGTGTCCCCTAGAGCCATCTGCCAGTGGTGGGGGAGCTTCAGGGGCCACAGAAGGGGGGGGTCGGCATAGCCCAGCCAGGCTTCGTCACCCAGCTGGGAAGGCAGACAAGACCCTACGCTTAACAGGGGAGCTGCTTCACCCTGCTTCATCTCTACCTAGCAGTAGTTTTTTGGCTCTGGGCCGCAACCTAGAGGAGTGTCATCGTGGGAAGGCTGTGAAGAGAAGAGCACGTCCTCAGCACAGACAACAGCCGCAGCAGTGGAGAGATGGGCCCAGCCCACCCACCCGGACCCCTTCCCACCCGCAGCAGCGAGCTCTGACACTCCCCCATCCCTATGACCAAGCAGGACCCTGGCTGTCCCACCTAGCTCACGTACCTTCCTGTGCCCTGAAAAAAGCAGGCTGAGCTGGTGTATGGAACCACCATTCTTGGTGAGCTCCTTCTTGAGGGTCCTGGGGGAGGGCAGGGCCCAGTGGCCCTTGGCACCCTGGCTGTCCGAGCAGTTGAGGGTGGTGTCGGAGGTGAAGCAGTGGCCCTTGGCCTCCTGCAGCAGGCTGCCCTCGCTGTGGGTCCGGCGCCGCAGGGAGCTCTGCACGCTCAGCGTGTAGACAGGCTGACAGCCCGATGTCTCAATCATGCTGCTGCGCTTCGCCTCATTCCTCTCCAAGTAGTGCTCATCACTGTCCTCCTCTTCCTCCTCCTCTTCCTCCTCCTCCTCCTCCTCCTCATCATCATCCTCCTCATCCTCACCATCTGTGACACCATATCCTGGGCCCGCCATGTTCTGGCTGAAGGTGCTGTCGAGTCGCAGCTCGGGGATGATGAAGGCTGGGATTGAGCTGTGCTGCTCCTCTACCCTCTCAGGAGCCGGCAGCAGCTTTTCAGCAAGGAGAGGGCCCTGCACAGCCCCCAGAGCCTCCCTGGACTCAGCCGGAGCTGGTGCTTCTGTGGCTGGAGGAGCATCGCCCAGCGCAACCTTCCCCTCCTCCGAGTGCATCTGCCCTGGCTTCTCAGTATCCGTCTCCAGCATCTGCCAGGAAGCGAGAGAAGAGAAGAGAAAAAAGGATGAAAGCAGGAGCATCCCAAATCTCTTGCTGGCCACATGCCGGGAAGCCTCTCCACTCCTAACGCCCCGACCACCAGGCTGGCCCCCAATTCACACATGCCTAACAGTGCCCACAGTGCTCCTGGGACCCAGCAGCTCTGGTGACGGGTGGCACTGACCCCCGTCGCCCCCGGGTGGGAGGCAGGTCGCCCATTGCTCCCAGGGCACCCAGTGCTGGTCCCAGGCCCATGGAGCACTGACCCCCTCAGCTAGCAGCAGGCCAGCAGTGCCAGGGCCGGAGCAGGTCAGAGACCTCCCAGCTCTGACCACGTGGGCCCCGGGGAGCCCTGTGACACCCAGCAAAGGCGGGCAGCGCCGTGGGCAAGCAGGTTTGGAGGAAATCCAGGCTGTGGGGGGCCACCGAGCCGACGGCGGGTGCCTCGGCGCTGCGGCACAGACAGACAATAAGCACAGACAGGCTCAACTACAGCTGGCAGCCAAAGGAGGAGACGGTAACATCATCCTTACCCTGGCTGACTCCCTAGTCCCCCAGGGAGCTGCTGTGGGGGGCTCAGCCCCACGGAGATCCTCCTAGCCCTGGCCGGAGTGCTGCAGGTAGGCTGCGGAGGAACCGAGTAGGCAGGGAAAACCAGAAACACTCGTCTGGCAGCTCCTGCCCCTCCTGCGCCACATTATTGAAACACAAAAGGGAAGTGCCGGCCTCTGCTTGTCTGCTGATTGCCCAAGGCTCGGCCGGCCTCAGCATCCCCGAAGGGCTCGGCCTCCCTGGCCCCGCGCCACGGGCCGCGGGGCTCCCCACGGCCGCCCTGCTGTGCCTCGCGCCGCCCCGCTCCCCTGGCCTCGCCAAACCACAAGGCGTTTCGAGCCGCCTTATCTCAGCCGCGTTGGGTGTTTTAAGCCCCGGGGGCTCGCTTGTGCCAGCTTTCCACGGCAGCCTGCAAAGGCCAGAATGAACGTCGCGTCTTCGAAGGGAAAAACCCGGGTCAGGCCGTGAAAAGTTGACTCCTCTCTTGCGGTGTTCATGAGCAAGCAGGCGAGGGAGCCTGCAAGGAGCCCCCGTGCCCCAGTCTGGTTCTCCCTGCAACGTGATCACTCCTTGCACGGGGTCTCTCTGACCCAAAAGGACAAATCCAGTGCACAGATACAGCAGGAAAGGAAGGAAAAAGGGCTACATCTTCCACCCTGGGAAGAGCTTCCCACCTAAGCAGATCCTGTAGGATAAGGATGGGGGTTATACAGGACCAGCTCCAGGTAGCAGGTCACTGTCCCAGCCAAAAATGTCACTTCATCCCCAGTCACAAACCAAGCACTTTCAAGAGCCCAATGGAAACCAGCCAGTGATGGCTGCGGTGACAATGCCACCACATCAGCCTGCCGTATAAATTGGGTTTTCTTCAGCTTCACAAGGAAACATGGCCCTGGGAACTGGCCCATCCAACCCTCCCATCCATGCCAGAGCGCTCGGCCCCAGACCCGGTCCTGCCAGGGCTGTCCGGTGGCCCCGGGGCAGGAAGAGAGGTACCGAGGACCTGAGGGAGGCTAGTGTCCCCAAAATGGTCACAGTTAGTGACTGCAAAGCCCTGGGAGCCAGCACTGCCGGCCCCAGGGAAGCAGCAGCGGCAGCTTCCCTCTCCCCTTGGAGACAGCAAACCTGCTGCTAAACGCTTCTTCCCCCTGCAGAGCCAGTTTGCATGGATTATAACCTACCGCTGGATTTCACGCTGGAATTACAAACACATTTCACGCTGCCCTAACTGCTATCGTTCCCAGGAAATACCCCAGCAGTGTTTAAGCCCAGGCTTGGACACCAGCCGCCCTGCACAGAGGGGATGCTGCAGAGGATGCTCTCCAGCCGGCAGCACCCCCAGACACGCACCTGAGCTACCAGGCTCTGCATTTCCAAAAAGTGGGCCAGATTTCCAAAAAGCTGCTTGCGTTCAGCTGACAGGGCCAGCCGGAGAGGCATCACCTGCACCGTGGCCTACGGCCAGTCGGTCACCTCCTGGGCAGCACAGGAAGGAGCTTGCCCATAGCAGCCCATGCTGCGATCTCCGCACACCCTACGTGCGCATGACTGGTGCGCTCAGCGTCAGCCCCGTGCGTCCCTGCAAGCAACAGCTTTGCAAGACAGTCGCGCTGCCTCGCTGCAGCCAGCAGTCCATCATCACCTCAACTTCTGCCCCAGCAAGTCTGAAGACTAAAATTCTCTGCGCCTGCGTAGCAACGTGCCTTCTCCAGGCCGACGACTAGGGAGCGACATCCAGAGCCTGCCGTGGCCTCAGCCCCACCTGCACCCTCCACCCCAGCTCCCACCACCGCTGGCTTTGGTGGGAGGCACAACGCGAATGCTTGGCGGCATAGCCCCCATACTTGAAGCTCTTTCACTCCCCTGGTAATTTCTTGTTGAAAGGATATGCTTCCAGACTTGCCGTGCAATGATGTGATTTGCACCAGTGTGTGTTTTATTGATTCTATTTGTGTGTTATTTATCTCACAGTCATTGTCAGCATTATTTCATGAAATAATTATAGGAAAAACCCACACAGCCTTCAGTTGCCTCCCTGCCCCTCCCTGACAGCTGCCTATCTGCCCAGTCCTTCTGCTTAATATTGTTGGTTGCCCACATCAGATAAGGCCCTAGAAGGAAATGAACAGGCTTCTTTAAAATGAGAGGCATTTTTGGATTAAATTAAATCCCTGTGCTAATTCAATCAGAGAATCTGCTGCTCTTCAACAGCACAGAGGATATGAGCAGGAGCCTCAGCGCCAAGCAACTTTTCCATCTCAGGCTTAAAACATCACCGGGGCTGTGAAATCCCATCCTCGCAGAAAGGGCGGTGGCTGAGGTCTGCTAACCTTCATCTGCTGGTGGGGGAAAGACAGGGAAGAGAAGTGGCAGGAACACAGTCACAGCTGGCTAACGAGCCCAGAGCTCGGCTGGAGGCACTGGGGACTTCATCAGCACGAAGCCAAAGGCGACCTTGCTGGGAAAGCCATCTGGCAGTGCAGTACCCTGCTCTCAGCTCCCCTGGAGCATCCCCTGGCCATGATCTACCACCAGAGCAGCCCAAAGCTGAGGACCAGGACCTAGAGTTGTTCCAACTGAGCTCAAGTGTCCCCTCTCTACAGCACCCTGTCCTGGATCTCCCTGTCCTGACCCACCTCTCCTGCATCATCCCTCGAGGTAAACGCGCATCTCCAGGGTTTCTGTTTCAGACTAAGTGGCCAACGCAGCACACCCCAAGAAGGGGAAGAAAAAGTAGAAGCAAAACCACCTCCAAGTCCCAGCATGGCTTTCACAAGTAGTTTTTAGGGAAGCAGGATGCATGCTGTGAGATCAGCACAAGGGCAGGGAACTCCAGACTTGCCCCCACCTCTTTGCCTCTCCCTGAAACGCTGCTGCAGTGTCTCAGCGGTGGGTGCGCAAGGGGAGGTGCAGGGTGTGCTCCTCTCCTGAGAGATGCTGCCATGGCTATTGTGGTCTCTGTTGTTCTGTAAGCCTTCTCCAGCTGGCCATGCAGAGGAGCTGGGAATGCTAGTGAGTCAGTCCAAGTCTGCTTTAGCCCAGTTTGGCTCAGTAGGGTCCCCCTTGCTTTATGCTTGAAGGCATGCGAGCAGGACGATGCTCTCTCCCAGCCTCGCCCTGGCCCTGGGATTTTGCCCTGACTCTGCATCTTCTCTGGTTCAGATTCCCTCTCCCTTTGGGGAAGGCATCATTCACTGCATCAAAGGCTCTCCTGAAATCAAGACAGCGGAGAAATACTGCAAACCCTTTGCTCTTTGGTCTGTAATTTGATCAATTTTCTCCGGTTGCTGCTGCTCTGACGCCAGCAGAGCAAATTTCAACAAACAAATGTGGGTTTGTTAGCGCAACCTCAATTTCTCCAGTGTTTCTTTAGATGACATGCCCTTTCTGGTGACCCGCAGCCTGGGACTTCCAGCTGGGAAAATGCTGGCCACAGCAACAGTACGGCTGTGACAAAAGTCAGCACTGGCCTTTCCCTGTGTGACCAGCTCTCCTATGCTATTGCACGTGCCGTGGCATTTGACAGCCCCCTTAAACCCACAGCTCTAGAAGGTCTGTTCACTCAGTTTAGAAATTTCAGATCATTTGAGGCTCTCAGCTTCTGATTTGAAAAACTATGCTCCTAATGGTCCTGTTCACGGAGACACTGTGGCTCAAGTGTAGCTCGGTCACAAGAAAACTGAATTCAGCCTTTCCTGACTTCTGATGGGAATGCTCAGGTTTGGCAGCTCCAATTTTTCTCTTGCAAAGATAGTGGTAAAGAGGGGACTAAATACGCTTAGCAGAACTGCAGCAGCCTGCACTCAGGGGATGGGACTCCTCAGCCAAAATTAGGGATTCCGGATAGCAGCAAAATCCCTGCAGATAGCACGCTGTCGGACATCGGAGCTGAGCACGAGAGCAAAGGATGCGCTGCACAGACTGCGCGCCCACCTGCTTAGGGGAGGGGGAGCTGGAAAGACGCCAAGTCTCGGAGCTGGCTTTGGCGTACGAGACCCAGCTCCCTTCAACACAAGTGCCTGCAGAAGGACATGTCACCCCAGCTCTCGGCCAGGCGCCGTGCAGCCAGCCTCAGCCTGCCCTCCTGGGACGGCCGCTCATCGCAGAGCCTCCTCAGCGCCACGGCAGGAAGGCTGAGACTGGAGTTAATGGCTCTCCTGAGATATTGCTTGGGAAGCTGCTCTCATTTGCCATCCTCAGACTGAACTTGATAGCCGAGGCCAGCCACATCCGTCATTAGTCCCACGGAGGAACCTCGCCGGCTCCTGCTCCTCTCAAATCTACCTTTGCTCAAAGACGCTCCCTCCTCACCCACTCCAAAAAAGGGTTAGCTGCATGGGAATGAAAGCAAGTCCCTCTCCAGGGGGAATCTGGGGAGGACACGGTCAGCAGATGAGGACTCTGGCAGTGCTGCACCGGTATGAAGGGCACATCCCTC